GTCTACAGTATAAAGACTACTGCGGTCTACGGTATAAAAACTACTGTGGTCTATATAGACTACTGTGGTCTGCGCTATATAGACTACTGCAGTCTACAGTATAAATACTACTGTGGTGTACAGTACAAAGACTACTGTAGTCTACAGTATATAGACTACTGTGGTCTACGCTATATAGACTACAACAGTCTACAGTACAGAGACCAGAGGCTCAGGGTTCAAAGACATTCAGAGCAGACCACCCTCAGGCTGATGGTTTATATTTATCATGTGGTGACGGCAGCACAGAACAGTTGGTTTATATTTACAGAAATAGACAATAGTACACACACACACACACACACACACACATACAGAGAGAGACGACAGGATTGGTCAAAGCAGAAACACAAAGGAAATGAATGGCTCATCAACAAGGAGGCGTCAGTGTGACTGATGGACCAGAGACCAGAGACTGGATCCAGATCAGCTGGTACGGCTGGAGGATTAATGGACTCAGTGAATGAAGAGCCAATACCATCAGTCTGAGGAGACGGCTCGCACACATCTATTCTGCCCCGGGGCAGATTGGTTGGTGCAGTGTGAGGGCTGTTAGTGTGATTGATCAGAGGAACAGCTTCACGTCACAATGAGTTCTGGTACTGGTACTGTACTGGTACTGTACTGGTACTGTACTGGTACTGTACTGGTACTGTACTGGTACAGACTGTGTGATCTGGGGTCAGGAGAAGGTTCACCTAGTCCACACATGGTGCTGTGGTCTAACACCATCTCTGAACTGAGGAACGTTCCCTGCACTGCACCCTGGTGGCACTGGAGGGAACAGCGTGTAATTCAATTTGAAAGATAAACTGAAGTCAGTGAAAAAAAATTCTACTTTTTCGGTTCATTCATTTGTAGATCTGACTCTGGGGGAGTCACTGCCTCACCCGCCGTGAACCTCACCCACGTCACTGGTCTCGCACTGACAGGTGGCCCTCAGTGAAACATGATGTATAGAGAGCAGCAGCGCCACCATGGGGTGATGTTAACACCCAACCTCACCCACAGCCTCACCCACAGTCTCATCCATAGTCTCCCCCCAACCTCCACCACGGCCTCCCCCACAGCCTCACCCACGCTCTCAGCTTTGTATTCCTCAAACACACCCCCCGCTCAGATATGGTGCATTTGGGATCGATACATTTGCCCCAGGGCTCATGTCTCCAGTGGGACATTGGAGTGAAAGAGTGATGCGGGTAAAATCGATACCACTGTGTACTTGCACTCACACCCCCCTCACCCCCCTATATAGACTACTGTGGTCTGCGCTATATAGACTACTGCAGTCTACAGTATAAATACTACTGTGGTCTACAGTATAAAGACTACTGTAGTCTACAGTATATAGACTACTGCGGTCTACAGTATATAAACTACAACAGTCTACAGTATAAAGACTACAATAGTCTACAGTATAAAGACTACAAAAGTCTACAGTATAAAGACTACTGTGGTCTACGCTATATAGACTACAACAGTCTACAGTAACAGAGACCAGAGGCTCAGGGTTCAAAGACATTCAGAGCAGACCGCCCTCAGGCAGTTGATGGTTTATATTTATCATGTGGTGACGGCAGCACAGAACAGTTGGTTTATATTTACAGAAATAGACAATAGTAAACACACACACACACACAC